CGGGAATCATCCACGGTTTGCTGCCTCCCATAAAGTGGGCAATATCCCGATAGGGCACCACACACTGATGTGGTTTCTTGTATTTGGATGCCTGTTGATGTTTTTCCTCATCGCAATTGAACTGATGAACGAGTGGATTCTCGTGCGAGTACGGTCCCAACGGTTCCAACCGCAAATTCATTTCAAGCGTGGGTTTGGAGAATCCATCAATCGTCTTGTTGGCATTCACGCCGGCATCAATCCAATTCTCAATCTTATCTTGAATAATAATAGACACGTTGCGTTTGTAGAATTTGGTCCAATAGTACAACAATCCCTGATCGGAATGTCCGGCATGGTACCTCCATTTCTTTCCGTACTTGATAGTCCCATGCCATTCGTCGTTCTCGGCTTCAAAGTCATATCCCCATCCCCGATTCCAACTGAAATGTGGATAGGGCAATTGCTTGCCTTCTTCCTTCATGCGTCGAATAATGGCTTGCAATCGTTCCCATCCTCCGGCTTCTGGTTCTAGCATGAACAGACCGGCATTGCAGGGTTCTCCTCGTGTGGCCCAAATCATGTTGGGTTTCAAAAAGGTCGGTGTGGATTTGTGGTCTGCATCCGAAAGATGAAACATGTAATCGAGATTGGCAAGTGGAATGGCATCGGCATCCATAAACATGACACGTCGGTATTGGACCAATTGGAGGGCGCGAAACTTTTCAAAGACCAATCCGGCAAAGGATTCGCGATTGGGTTTGGGCAATGGAATGATTTGAATATTCAACGCGTGCAAGTGATCCGTGTCTTCTTGCGGCAGAGCATCGAGTGGAGAATCGGGAGACATTTGCGTAAAGAGAACGACATCGGCGGTGGATCCGAGTTTGCGAAGAAGACGCGTTGCGACGAGCACATCGTAGACAAATCCCTTGTAGGCGGGTCGGTCTTCGTGAATACCGCCAATGACAAACATGTACGCGTAGGGGCTCTTCGGAGTGAGGTTGTTAATGGTCACAGCCGCGGTTTCCGTCAAGTTGATTTGGGGATCCGATACGGTAATGACGGCAGAATGGTTTTTGGCGGTTACTACTACTTCTTCTGTTGCTTTAGAAGTCGGGTTGGCTGTGGGAGACGCTGTGGGAGACGCCGTCGGAGCCACCGTTGGACTGGCTGTGGGAGATGCGGTGGGACTGACGGTAGGACTGGCAGTAGGAGCTGCCGTAGGCATGCCTTGTCGTAGTTTTTGTTGCGTGAGTTGTTCAATGGTCCGCAGCAATCCTTCCTTTTCCGCGACGGACAATTGACTGGTGGCCACGGAACTACTGAGGGATTCCAAACTCATTCCGTCGCCCAGCAGAGCGCGTTGTTGTTTCTGCGGAGCATCTTCATTCTCACGTCCGGCACCCACCATGGACTGCAGCAATGGAGATGTCAGGAGCAAGTGATGCACGGCAACGGTAACCCCCAACAAGACCAACAAGGATTGCACCAATCGAGATTGAAACGTTTTGCGGTGAGAAGAGTGCGAAAAGTCTTCTCGACTCGGTACTCGACCAATATTGCTGCTGATCGAACCAGGAGGAGACGGAGATCGAGACCGCGTGGCTCGTAGCAGATTGTCTTTCATTGTAATGCTTGGAAATTCAGGAAGATGGGAGAGAAGAGGAGAGAATTGTCGTTTTATTGTGGGTGGTGTGTTGCCTGCCTGTTGGGCTAGCTGCTGGTAGGAAAATAAATGTGATGATGCACAGTGCTTGCTTGGTGGCAGTGACTTTTTATGTCGCTTGCTTGGTTGTCGTAGCTTTGTCGTTGGGCTTTCTTGCTGGCCCAAAGTATTTTGTTGATGTTGACCAAGAAGCCAAGAAGTGACAGTACCGTATGCTGCTTGGATCCCTCGCTCCCTCACGTCGCTGTGCATTCGTTGGGCCCGTCATTATCGTCGACAAAACAAAAGCCCAAGAGTCACACGTTAAGTCATTGTACAATACGGGAACACTCACAAGGTGCTTGCCTGGGTAATTCGCGGAAAAGATTTTTCAAAGGGAAGGCACAGTTCTACGGGTTGGGTGCGTTGGGCTGGTCTTGAAATCTGGATGGGCTGGTAATCGGAGGGTGCAAGATGACTCTGGATGCTTCGGATGACCTTAAAGAATGACCGACTGAGTCACTCCTCTCGTGATTGATGTTGTGCGTGAAACAACTCAACTCCAAGCCAAGCGAATGACGAGGTTGAAGGCACCGAGGTCGGCATGTCGTTCTGCAAGCTACTAGCTAGCTAGCTAGTAGAGCTTCAGAACTCTCCTCGGTTCCTTTCTCCTTTCACGTAATGCACAGCCAAGGCTTGGTGAGACTGCGATCCTAAAACGCAGTATCAGGGTATACTCATGGCTGGCAGTCCGATTTAACTAGCTAGCTAGCTAGCTAGCTGTAGCTAAAAGTCGAAGTCGCCCAAAAGACCAAAAGTCAAGTCAAGAACCCGTTACTATTTAGTAGCAACGTTCGCTAGATGAAAACGGGGTATGCACAAGACCCGTGCTATATCAAACTACGACACGAGGAGCCGGCGGCCTAGCGAGCCAACGATAGCCCGTACCGGTAGATGGGAAAGAGGATCGACACAAGCTCTCCCCCCCAATCTGGCAGAACGTTTCCGCATCGCCAGGTATTCGGACGAACTGGCCAATAGCTTGCATACGGCACCAAAAACTACTGTTGGACCGGACGCATCCGGAAGCCCTGGCCACCTTGGACGAGGCGGAAGAAGAGGCCTGCATCAACGTATTGCTGTCTTTTTCCTCGTCGAGGAAGCATCTCTCGGGGAATCGAATCAAATCGGACGAGAGCTACACGCCACCGCAACGGAAGACATTGCCGCTGCTGACACATACATCAGCTGGGAACAATGTCTTGTTAGCTGGACTAGCAAATACCGGAACACACGAATGGTGTTTTAGAGGGCAGAACATCACGGAGCTTGCCTCTTTATCAGCCATTGAAGACAGGGCGAAGACTGGACATGCCGCGTTGTTCTTGCGGGGGAGCTTTCTACGATCGACGCTATCCACGCCCGAGCTGGTTTCGTATAGTTGAGCGACTCATTCATGCAATTGGCATAGAATCGAATGATATAACCGTGCCACTACCGCCGCTGCTCAGGCTTTCGTCCTCGGCCAAGCCCCATGAAGATGACTTGCTTCGAGAGTTTCGATAATGCCTCTCACAGCTACTCGCTGTAGCTTTCACCTACGGCCCAGTACCCAGTACTGTTTCGATGCCAATAGAGGGATGGTTATTGATAGTCTACGTTCTAGCCCAGAGAGATGAGTGAATCCTTGAAAAATGAAAGGTGCCACTGTCAATTTTATGCTTGGCCAACATAGCCACATTCAAAGGAATCAGCAAGTATGGCAAAACGGGCCAATTGGACTTGCCCCTGTGTTGGGATCTGATTGTGAAGGACAAGCAAAGGCTCCAGCAAACATGTCAACCACAGTGGCTGTAACAAGAAGGTTGTTACCCCAATTGCACAAATCTCGGTCCAGTGATGCAGCTCCCTTGAACCTGAGCCCAGAGCAACAGAGACAGTACGAAGCATAAGGCAAAAGCAATAATACCACAAAACCAAAATGTCACATGCTTAGTCACCAACAAACTTACATGGAATTGAAGCTGGTGACTTGGCTAATGTCCCAGGTTGTACCAATTGCTTGGTTGAAAGCAGAGTTTTGGAACATCTGCAACATGTTCACAGCATTTCCTACCTGCCATGCTGTAATCGGCTGATTGAAAGAGGCCGAATTTGCAAACATTGCTTGGAAATTCCTCACTTTGTTTACATTCCAAATTGAAATGTCCTGAAGGAGCAAAGGAATAAGAATGGGTCAGAAGATGGTGGAATTTCCTGTCTGCATCACAACATTCTTTTTCACAGTATCCTCCTACCTGGTCAAATGAACTGGCCCCAGAGAACATGTTTGCAGTGGTTGTCGCACTTGAGAGATCCCAATTTTGTATGTCTTGGTTAAAATCTGTATTGCTTTTAAACATGCTGCACAGGAAAAAGTTAGTGCTGCTTGTGAGACTTGGCAGAAACAATTTGATGGTCACTTACAACAGAAAATTGGTTCCAGCAGCTGTGGACCACAATGGCATTGGTTGGTTGTAGGCAGTGTCAGCAAACATGTAGTTGAATGACTGAACTGCTGCCACGTTCCAGGTTGAAATGTCACGGTTGAAATTAGAGTTCTGGAACCTGTGGGTTCAGCAGAAAGTTGAAATGGCAAGGGATTAGAATCATTGCTAGATTTCAGAGTCGTGGAAATCATACCGTACAGGGCCTTACATGAATGCGCTTGAGGTGACCTTTGCAACATTCCAACCAGAAAGGTCTCCATTGAAAACAGTTGCTTCTTGAAACCTGGGGGAAAGCAAGGGGTTGAGGTGAGACCAACCAGCCGCTCAAACACTTGGATTCTTCACAAGCACTGGTGTGGTTTCGTCTTACATTCCTTCAAGGTTCACAGACTTGCTTGTGTCCCAGTTGGTTAGATCTTTGTTGAAGGCTGCTGCTTGGTAGAATGTGTTATGGAAAGTGGTCACAGCACTGACATCCCAGGAACTGATATCTTCATTGAAAGATGCATAGCCTGAGTAGCCTCCAGCTGCAGCAAACACATCTTGAAAAGATGTGACACGCGTGACATCCCACGTTTCAATGGCGCCATAGGTAGATGTTGCACTGAAGTCTCCAGCTTGCAATGCCGCTATGAGCTCTGTTCTATCGCCAATGACTAAAGTTGCGACAGAGTGTTAGCTAGTGACAAACAGAAACGATAGTTCATACAATGTTGCAAGAACCCTTGTCAACGTACCATCTGGAGTAGGGGCAATTGTTGGGCTTGGTGTTGGCATCTTCGTTGGAGCTTTTGTGGGTGCTCTTGTTGGAGCTTTGTGTGTGCTTGGTAGGTGCCTTGGTAGGTGATTTGGTTGGTGCCTTGGTAGGTCCCTTGGTGGGTGCTTTGGTGGGTGCCTTGGTAGGTGCCTTGGTTGGTGCTTTTGTGGGGGCTCTGGTTGGGCTTTGGTTGTGCTTTTGTAGGAGCTTTGGATGGTGCTTTTGAAGGAGCTTTGGTGGGTGAATTAGTTGGAGCTTTAGTCGGTTCTTTCGTAGGAGCTTTGGTGGGAGCTTTGGATGGTGCTTTTGAAGGAGCTTTGGTGGGTGATTTTGTTGGTGATTGGGTAGGGGCTCTAGTTGGAACTTTGGTGGGAGCTTGAGAAGCTGCCGTGGTGGGGGCTTTTGAAGGTAGTTTGCTTGGAGCTGCGGTGGGTGCTCTTGTAGGTGCATTGGTTGGTGTGCTTGTTGGGGATTTGGCGGGTCCATTAGAAGGGGACTTGGTGGGAACTTTGGAGGCTTTTGACGGTGATATTGTAGGGGTCTTGGTTGGCAGATCAGTAGGTGACTTACTTGGGGTGTCAGGGGCAACTGTAGGTGACGAAGTTGTGGGGACATTGGTTGGAGCTTCACTGGGGGCTTTGGAAGGTAAGTTTGTTGGCATATTGGTAAGAGGGTTGGTTGGGGTTCTTGTGGGTGCCTTATTGGTTGGGTTGCCTGGAGAGGCAGCGGGCTGTGGTGTTGGGGCGATTGTGGGTACTTTGGTTGGTAGAGCTGCTGGGCCAACTGTAGGCACATCAGTAGGTGTTGTTGGGATTTTGGTTTGGGTTTTAGTGGGTTCCTTGGTTGGGTTTCCTGGCGAGACAGTAGGTACCGGTATTGGGGCATGTGTAGGTACCTTGGTAGGAATATTAGTTGGAGGTTTAGTAGGTGTCAAGGATGGCACTTGGGTTGGATTGCTCACAGTCACAGTGGGCAGAGGTGTAGGGCCAACTGTGGACACCTTTGTTGGAGTCTCAGAGGGTACCTTGCTTGGACGTCCTAGAGTTACAGTGGGTTGAAGCGTTGGGCCATTGGTGGGTACACTTATTGGTTTTTCAGTTGGAACCGATGTTGGTGATGTGGTTGGAGACTCACTTGGAACAATGGTGGGGGTTGTAGAAGGTGTTCCTGTTGGAGCTCTGGTTGGGTTCCCTGGTGGTACTGTGGGCTGAGGAATAGGGGCAATTGTTGACAACTCTGTTGGAGCTAGTGTTGGATTTGTTGTGGGGGGTTTTGTTGGTGCACTGGTGGGTACTCGAGTTTGAAGAGTGTCACTGAAAAGAATGGCAACTACTCCAGTTCCTTGAAGCACAGAACTGATACTATTCACAAGTGCAGTGACATCAGATCCAACAGGCAGTGGCAACCCAGGGCTTGTCTGCAATGTTTGTATGCGTAGTCCAATTTGTGGATTTATTTCCTGAAGGCGCCGCCTGGTGTACCGCCCTTCCACTTCAATATCAATGAGAATTGGATCACAAACTGTTGAATTCATGCCTCCATGAGCTGTTTCGAAAGCATCAGTCACATCATCATCCAGAAGCACACCAATATCACCCTCAAGAGTCAAATAGTATAATTTGTTGTAAGTATCAAAGGCCACATTGCACTCTTCAATTGTTGGTTGCTCTGTTGGCGTGCCACTACCTGTACTGGAGGTGGGAGTGAGACCACTTTCTGATGGGGACCAAGGGGTCGGCCTAGAGGTGGGCGGCTCAGTTGGTTCAAATGTGGGCCCAGGCGTGGGCTGCTCAGTTGGTTCAAATGTGGGTCCAGGGGTGGGCAGCTCAGTGGGCCGGGGTGAGGGCCCAGGGGTTGGCTGCATAGTTGGTGGAAGAGTGCTCTGTGGAGTAACTTGAACAGTGTTTTCATTGGTAGTCTCTACAGTGGGCTCTCCAGAAGGTGTCACCTGGGATGAGGGCCCAGGGGTTGGCTGCGTCGTTGGTTGAAGAGGGCTCTGTGGAGTAACTTGAACAGTGTTCTCACTGGTGGTCTCTACAGTGGGCTCTGCAGATGGCCTCACAGATGGCTCCACTGTAGCACCAAAACGAAGGGGCACCGATGGTGAATGAAGTGATTCGGTGTAAGTGACCGGCACTGATGAGAGGCTGTCTCCACCACCTACAACAGAAAATCTATACAATTAAATCAAAGAAACCAAAGTAAGAACTGGGCAAGAATAACAATATCTTTTGACAAAAGAAGACTTACTTTTGCAACTCGTGCTCTGTTTCAGGGGAAATATTTGCATCAACAGTGGGTGATGGTGTTGTTGGCCTTACTGGGACCACAAATGTATCTTGCAATGCACCTTTGTTTGTAAATGCATTCAAGCCATATGATGTTTTGGCCGACAGACTGGTATCTGCAGCAGCTTCTGGTACAACAGGTGAAGCTGTATCAGCAGTGGCTTCTTCAGGGCTAGGTGGCTCCAAATGTGGTTGAGATGCCATGTTTGGTGACACTGGAGCCACCACAGGTAGGACGACAACATCTAGGTTGCTCTCGGGTGCACCATTAGGCAAAGCATTTGGCACCTTACTCTGGTCATTGTATGCTGTTGGCATGATTAAATCATTTGAGCTGGTTGGTGGCAATGCTGGCTCATCGGTATAACTTTGATACTGTTGTGGGATGGCGGGATTTTCAACTGGGGCATTGTTTGGTATGGAAATGGGCGATGCAGTATGATATGCACTGGGTGCAGCAGTTCGTGCCATATCATTGGTTGTTTCACTTGGTGCAATACCAAGTCCTGCCTCTGCCTCTGCGCCTGCAACTGTGTTTGGAATCCCCGATGGCGTCTCTGGTTCATTTCCAGTAGTCGGTGAGCTGTTCTCATTCCGGCCATCGTGATTACTTGTTTCATTGCCTGGCTCCTGCTCCACAAAGGTCTCATCAAATCCATCAAATATGTCAACCAGCAGTTCTTGGCAGTCATTAGCAGTTGGATTTAAAATACAAGCTGTAAGGATCTCCTCATCTACTTGATTGGGAGCTGAGTCATCCTCCAGAAGAGCTTCAAGTTGTTCACAGACAGGATTTGTTTGGCCTTGATTGATAGCCACTACCTTTCTATTATCATTGATGAAACACTCTGACAAGGCATTGAGCTGGTTGGAAAAGGGCGCTTGAATGACACCATCATTGGTCTCAATGAATTCTTCAAACTCTTCAAGAGCCTCTTTTCCGACGGAAGCAATCACATTGCCAACGCCCAGGGTGGAATTATTCAAGGTGCCATTGAATCCTGGTGCTGCCCTTGTTGTGGCAAAGACAACCCTAGTGGATAATCCCACATTGTCGTCAACCACCACTGTTCCTTCACTCTCTTTGTGGAGCATGGGACCCAAATTGTACCCCAATGTTGCTGCAAACAAGCCAAGAAATTGATTGATAGATGGAGCTCCAAGTTGTTCTTGTTGTAGCTCACGCCGTTGATGCCCCAAACCTTTCTGATTTGGTTCATATGCATTCTGATTGCTAGTCAAGACTTCTGAATTTGTCTCTAGTTGTGAGATGTTTGGTGGCGATGACTGTGTCCCATCGGTTCTGGCAGGCTTCTCTTCAATTTCAAATATGTGGACGCCGGTGTCATCCTCATCTATGGATGTTGAGTCAAAAAGAGGTTCAAAGTCTGAGCACACGATTCAAATCAGCGGACAACAAGGAAACTGCGTGTTAGGACACCATCCAATCAACTGGGATGGCAGCAAGTATTGGAAAAGACTTCAATGATGCAAGATCCACTTACCAGGACACCCGTTGCAAGCAACTGTTGCTAGCCAGAACACGGTGGTCACAGTAGAGCCATCTGTTCCATCATCATCTCCCATAATCACAAAGGTTTCCCAGTCCTCAATCGTGGCATTGTGAACTACCCGAATGAATGGATCCAAACACATCCCAGAGATGCTAATAAGGTCGGGTATGAGCACAGGTTTTGAGAAAAAGAGAAGACCCAATCAGGGATACTAATTTCCCTGAATGAAGCAGTTCAGTGGGCCAACACTTACTTGTTGTAGACCTCTCGGAACAATGCCTCGATGTGATCCCTGTAGTCTGGTAGGGCTCCTTCTGGCAGCGCTTGTATCTGTAACTCAACGTATCCTTGTTTAAAATCGGAACTGCCTGTACATGGTGGCGGCACAAAGTCACCTTGGGGTGGAGGTGGTCTTCCATAGAAATCATCAGTAGCCACAAATGGAGAAGCTGGGACTGGGGCTGAAACTGGTGCCATGGCCACCCCAGAAACAACAGCAGCCGCAGAAACAGCTGCAACCCCCACCGCGACCCCCACTTGGGTGGCAACTGGTGAAGAAAAGAAGGGAACGATTTGGGATAAAAAGCCTGAAAGGAAATATACTGCCAAGGCGCTCGCAACACTGCTTACCTCCTGCAGAAGCAACTGCGCTCACAACAGTACTGGCGATAGTGGTTGCTGAAGCCGCCGCGGCTGCAGTTGATGTTGTGGCGGCTTATTGGTTGCATGGGTGGTGCAGATTGAACAAGGGTGGAGGTAGAGGTTGTCAGCGTGGAAATATTTAGAGATGAATATGCAGTTTCATGAGGATCACAACAGTTCCTGAACGGTACTTACTCGCAGTAGCTGTTGCAGCGCTTTGTGCTGCAGTGGTTGCCATTTGCCCAGCCATGGTTGAGGTTGCAGCTTGAGTTGTGGCGGTGGTGGTACCGGTGGTTGTGGAAGAACCAGTTGCGGCAGTGATGTTAGCATGAGCACTAGTGTTGTGTAAGCTCTGCCCAAGCTCGACGGCACGACCTGCATCTTCGAGGCCCATCGCATAGTCGAGGGCATCTTCCAGTGGCATGGCATGGTCCTCACTTTCCCTTCCATTCCCTCTCTTGATGCATCTATACAGTCTCATGCACAAGTCCTTGATGGTTTCGAATATAAAACGAAAGAAAATCCGAAACATGTCCGTAACATAGCCACACATGATTCCCTTAAAGACACCACGTCGAATAGCTCTTTCTCGTTCATCAGCAGACAGAGCACTTTGATAGCTACTCTCGTCACTTTCGCTGTCATGGCAATATTCCACGTCGTCTTCTCGAGCAGTGTGAACGTCGTCATTCTCGTACTCGCAAGCAGTTGCGTCCTGCTGACTTTCGCCTCGAGATACTTCAATGTCAACTTCATAGAAGCTGCAACCAGTATCAGTGTTACTATCGTGGAGGGAGTCAGGTTGTCGTTCCGCCTCGTCATGGCCGCTGCGGGCCATCATGGAACGCCGATCATACCGGTAGGTGTTGGCCCGATCTTGGGCTGGTTGGTCGCTCGATGCTGCGATTGAGCAGGGACTTGGGTGGGGCGAGTGTTTCATTATTTAGTGGGTCGTTTGTCGCTACTATTTCTGGACAAGGAAACCCAGCAATCACAAAGTTTATCAAGGTAATTAGGCCGAGACAGCGCTTTGCGGAGAGTTTATTGCGCTTCGGGGAATGCAGCTCTCGCGAAGAGGTTTGTGCGAGGTGCGAGGTGGGAGGAGACGAAGACCGAAACTCGGGTTGCAAAACAGCAAAAGACATGCGGTCATAATAATTTGTTTTGTGTCTGACTGTGGCTTGTGTACAATAGACAGTTTTCAGTGCTTGGATGTTGTTCAAGCGTTCAAGCGTTCAAGCGTTCTACCGAACTTCTACCTTGTACCTTGGTACGTACCTCGGAAGAGTCTCTCGGAAGGCAGAAGATGCATCCTGGCTGCTATGGTGCTAGAGTACGGTAGGAGAGAACCGTAGGTCCCACCCAGACTGGAGAAGTTCACTCCAAAAAGCCAAAAAAGAATTTCTGAGAGCTGGCTACATACATGTATTTTAATTAAAATAGTACTCAGAGAAGCTCTCAGAGCTCAGAGTATGGTACGGTACTAGCTAGAACTCTTCTAAAATACACAGAGTAGCAGAGTAGTACCGGTACGCGAGTAGTAGTCTAGTTTACTGAGTCGAGTCAGAGTCTTGCTTTACGTAAGCTTTACAGCTCATGTACCTGGGTACCAAAGAAAATTAGGCAGTGGGCACGGAAACTGGAAACGAACTGGCGAACTGGCAAAGCTCTGGCAAACTGGCAACTACCGGTACAAGAGTACTACAGTACCTTACAGAGGTTTTACAGGCTTTGTTACAGAGTAGCTACAGTACATGTCCGGTATCCGGTATCCGGTAGGTAGCCCCCGGAACGGCCCCCGGAAGCCGGAATTGCACGTACTAGTACGTTGCAACATCAATAATTGTGGTTCACCTTAGGGCTAGGAATGGACCATCAAGTACAAAGTCGCGCTGGGCTGGAGGCCAGACCAGTACAAAGTTTTCAAAGTACTAGCTAGTAGTACTCAGGAACACTCCAGAGCTGTTCATGATAACCCACAGATTGTTATACTGGTTGGTCCATTGTACTTGTTGGTCCATTCCAAGAGGGGGCTGATCTCAAGGGATCCAATTTCTCGTTGTGGCATAATCTGAGATCTGAGTACCAGTACCGGTACAGGATGTAATGCATCAATGCATCAATGCATCCACTTGGGCCGTGGGAAGGGGCACCTGTCATTGCGTATCAGGTACCGTACCATGAGCAAAGCAGTCAATCTTTTGTGTACGCCCTTTCGGACAGAATGAGCGGCGCATTGGTCTATTAGTACAACATTTCGGAGATCTCATAGACATTGACAGCTTTGCGTGGGCAGTGCATATTGGTGATTCTGGGTCTTGGAAACCTACAGCTGTGCCTGCGGTATGTTTGGAATGAATGTATCGGGTCCACAGTTGCTGTTGCCACTGACTAGTGGAACAAAGACAGGTGCCGCGCCTCGGTAGCTAGCTAGATCGAAGCCAGAGACATCAGGAATTAGGAAGTGATACCAGGTGCTGAAGCTGTAGCTTAGTTCTTATAGAGCTTTGCAGAAAGCGCAGAAAAGCAACTCTCACAGCATCAATCTACTTCGATTTGTGGTTCACCTTTGGGGTGATGGGGGGCCTGATCTCAAGGGAGGATCCATTGATCCATTGTGGCATGGTGACGAGCTCGTGGCTCATGGTATTTCCACTTACTTTCTTGAGGCCGTGGGAATGTGCACCTGCCATTGGAGCAGGGCATTACGATCATCATGAGCATGATGGAGCATCACATATCGGCAAAGCAGCCAATCTGTTGTCCAAGCACCCCAGTTTTGCAACGTACTTTCTGACTGAATGATCCGCGCCTTGGACGTTTCGTACGGCATTTCAGAGATCTCATAGATATCGACGGCTGTAGCCCCTTGGCGCGCATGTTGGTGGTTCCTGGTCAATGCAACCTGCAGCTGTGCCCTTGTTTCCCATTGTCATCTTTTGAGTCCAACGACAAACGGCCAAGGAAATGAACGTACTGCATATCGGATCCACTGTTGCTTTTGCCACGGACTAGTGGAACAAAGACAGGTACCGTGCCTCCGTAGCTAGCTCAAAGCCGGAGACATCAAGAAGTGATACCGGGTGCTGAAGTTGTAGCTAAGTTCTTATAATAGAGCTTTGCAAAAAGTGCAGAAAAGCACCTATCACAGAATCAGTCTATAGCTTTGCAAAACGAGCAGAAAGCAACTCCCGCGGAGTCACAGAAACGACCTCTCTACATTCAAATCGGCCGACAGATACCATTTGTCTTCCCTAGTGCAACGTTGACCGGAAAGCCTCCTCATGTTGACGAGGTAGGACCTTTTGAGCTCCTTCAAAGTCTTTGGTGCAATCCGAGCTTCTGTGTCGAATGTGGCTTCGCTGGTTGCAGGCCTAAGATTGCGCATGTCTATGTTACTTCCTTTTTCCAAACTCGATCCATGCTGATTGTTTTGAGTATCACGTGTTGATTCACCTACGACGCCGCCAATCTCTCACATCCCCGATGGCGGGCAAAGTTGACGGTCCGTGCAATGGCACAGACTGCCAGTGCATTCCAGTCGGCATGGCCTCCTTCAATGGTTTCTTGATCCTTTGTGGAATCAAAGGGGTAAAAGTAATTGTTGTCGTTACAATCCAGCACTGTATTGTGCTCCATTCTTCGCTTGGCAAAGAATCGGTAGGTCACCTTTGGATCCACCCGTTTCATTTCCGCCGAAGTAGGAATCATGTACCGTCGACAGTAATGCAACATGGGCGGTAGAATGCTGGAATGATGCTTGACAAAACAACTCGTGGCTGATTCGTGCGAACGAATGGGTTGTTTTTTCTTTGCCGCAGACACTAGTTCTTGTTCGAGCTGCACGCGATAGTTCTGTGCACTCTGTTCAATGACTTTTCGTTCGGCGGCTTCCCAGGTGGCATTGTCCCATCGCTTGGGATTGGGCCAACCGACCATGCATCCCGTAAAGAGCCCATTAATGAGATGATGCGGTAGTTGCAAATGTGCCGCTGCCATGGAATAGGCGTACATTTCGGCATAGAGAAGTGGATATTCATCGTACGTAGCTGGAACCAGTGCGGCCCATTTAGTGGCCAAGGGCAAGACATCGGCCCGATGAATGACATAGGGTGGCCCGGCCGAATAGTGTTTGTGAACTTCTTGTTGCGTGGTTTTGACACAGGGACTGTCGGCTCCACAAATGTGCGTGCGATTAAAGTCGAGCCATTGAGCTCCGAGACCATAGGAAGCCGCCGCTGAGCAATGCAAATGCAAATGTATGTGAGTGGGATGATGATGATGATGATGGGTGCGACTTGTAATTTCCTAACATAGTTCCATCACGTACCTGGCTTTCCCTTGTAGACGAGATCCTTGTCTTGCGTGAACGGTTTGTCCTTCTTTTTGGAGTGTCCCACAACACTCATATCCGGCCTTGCCAAATGAAAGCGTGCGAGGAACAAGAAATCGGGATCAATCAAGACAATGGCTTCATCTACATCCTGATTGTCTTGTTGTGCGGTAGCCCAATGCAAGAGTCCATTTGGTTTATTGTTGAAATAGTAGTGATTTCCGTAGTTGGAAGGCACGGTTTTGCCATTGTTGGGATTGGTAAAGATGCGTCGTTTTTTGCCATTGGCGTAGGGGCCTCCATAGACGGACATGTCGGAGAAATCGGGTGTGAAATGTAGATTGGGATGCAATCGGGAACAATCGGTTTCGTGGAATTCTGGCGGAAAGTGTTCATGGACCCGTTTTCGAATAAAAGAAGATGATAGATTGTCGCTGTTGGCGCCTCCTTTGCCTTTGCCCTTGTCGTGTTCATGATCCGGTAGACATCCACTAACAATCCAGGTGAATTGGCCGCACTGATGGACAGCTTCGGCAGAATGAAAGGTGGTGAGGGTTTCCCAAAGTTGGTAGGACGAGCACTGGGTGCTGATGATAAAATGAAATTGGACACTGTGGTCTTCCTCTTCCTCCAAAAGTTGTTTCTGTGGTTCTTCTTGACTGCTGGCGGCTTGCTTTGGTTGTTCTTCTTTTCTGTTTGGCTGTTCTGTTGGTTGTACTTTTCCCCTTAATAGCTTGGGTGGCTGTATTGCTTGACTTTTCTTTTTTGTGGGTAATGTGAGGGAGGCTTCCTTGGTAGCACTACTACTGGTAGAAGTGGTGGAACTATCCTGGGCCAATTTATCATCTCCTGACAATTTTTCGATTGCCAGTTGCTGTTTGCTCTCTTCCAGATAAACTTTCAAGATGGATGCTGCTTGGTGCGGTTGATCGGAGGCATAATAGAAAATCCAGTGTGTTCCAAGCCAAGTCAGTATGGCCGTCATGGCCAAGATGCTCAGCAAGAGCAAATGAAATGATGGTACTCGGTGATGGTGGTGGTTGGAAGATGTCGTCATGATCTACTGTAGCTAGCTTGGTCTATTTATTATGGTGCTATCTCTCGGGAAGATTGAAGGCAAAAGACCATTGTTTCGAGAGGGCGGATGCAGGTTTTGGGGAGGTGTGTTGATGACGAGACGAAGCGAACAGTCACATCGATGCGAACCGTGGATCTTTTGCAAGAGAAATATCTGAACTAGCTTTCATGAAAACCTTAATTTATGCTTTGTTTGCTGATGGCAAAATTATTTTTATTCTCTCATTTTTGGCGCCCTTGCCATTTTTGCTACCGACATCAAAAGGACGTGGACCTTTGTTTCTTTCCTTATTACGGTACTTCTTCTGAGGAGGAGACTGGTGTCTGCTGTGTTTTCTACAGATTTGCTTCTTGTAAAGACACACTACGAGTACCCGTACAACAACAACAAGATGAGTGGCTTACTGGGTTTCTTTTCCAAATTCATGCCGTCCGAAAAGGACAGCACCACCAATGCTGCTGATGATGGAGATGTCTATCCACAGTCCTTGTTGGACTTGCCGCCGCAGCAAAATCAAGAAGATGTAGAGATGGAAGATCCTCAACAGACCGAACTACCCGCCATGTACGATGTGAAAATAGGCTTTAAAAAGTGGAAAAAGAAGCACAACAAACACTTGGGAGATTTCCTAAAAAAGCGCATGTGGTCAGACCAAAAAGATTGTCCCGAAAACGACCACGACGAAAGCGATCATTCCGACGATGACATGGAACCAGAAAATCTCGCCATCATTCCTCACGTCGACGCTACTGTCCATGATGTCACTCGCTTGGATGACATTGATTTGCACACACGACAATTGACGCTCGATTTGGTCCAAGTCACCAAAGTCCATGACTTGCGAGAGATCAGACGATTCGCCGCCACGGAAGCGTACGACAAGCGATCCCAACACATTCTATATCCCAACGATGGACAGCTCAAGCAGCTACTCCACGCACCCCTCGACTGCGATGGTCCACTCTCCACCATTTACTATTCCACCGTACTGGCCCTCGAAGTCACACAGCCACAACAAATCTCTCCCGCACGACGAGCCGCTGCCGGAGTAGAACCTCATTATCATCCCAAACAAACAATGAAATTGTTCTTGTATGACAAACATGCCGATCTTGTCTACAATCAAGTGTTGATGCAGGAGGAGTACGATCCCAGAATACACACACTCCTACTCTCACTCTCCAATATTCCTGCCAAATGCATTGTCCCGTACGCTTACAACAATTGGGCTCCACAACAGGATTGTGTTCCCTATTGTATCTGTCTGGGAGCCAAGTCCAAATTCCTCCGAGATGACGACAATGTCCGCTTTGATGACTCTGCCATGGGCATGCGCATCATGTGTCAAAAGTCTGACGAGGCGGCACGAGAATGGACCTTGAAACACACGGGCAAAGACGAACAGAGCCGCATTGTGGCCATTGTCGAACAGACCACGTTGGAATTGCAGGACAAGTGGAACAAGCTTTGTGCGGCTGCTGCAGCAGCAGAAGAAGAGCAAGAGGAAACTCGCAACAATGCCACAACAGCCACCCAGAACAATACCAATAATGAACAACCCCAACAGCAGGAGCAACCACAGCAACAGGCACAGGAGCAACCACAGCAACAACAACAAGCAGCTCCGTCCGAGCGACAAAACAGTACAGCAAAAGAAAGAGAGCCACAAGAATCGACCATCAACAACCCGCCACTTCCTGGCAAACATAATAAGGATACTCCTCCCTTGTCCGACTTGTGGGACATGCTGCAGAATCATAGAGCAGGCAAGACGAAACAACGGTCTCGAGACTGCGAAGCCAACGTTTTTGGGCTGGTGGTTGGATTTAGTGCACCGCGATTGACCAAAAGTGGAGACACCACCATGAACGTCACTCTGGTAGATGAATCCATCATTATTCGTGGTGGTGGTGACCAACCGGCTCCCATTCATCTCGTCATCTTTTGCAAAAGTAAAAGTCAGCTGCCAGTCTTGAGCGCTGCCGGAGAGGTTTTGCGGTTGCATCGTGTGGTGGTTCAGGTACGTACTAATTCTATACTATACTGCCAGAAGCTAAAGCAAGTGGGTACAAACGTTCCAATCATCCAGCACAGCCCTCATTCATCTATCTGCGTCCGTTCACTTTTTAGGATTGGCAAGGAGTATTGCAATTACGGGGGCAACGATCGACTGGCTATGCCGTATATCGAGGCGGGGATGCCTTTCATCGGGACTCGCTCGCATCACCGGGAAGCTGCAGTATGAATCCGCAAGGTGAAGCCAGGTTTGCCGCGCTGTGGAAGTGGGGGCAAAAGTACTTGACGGACCATTCCACCATTCTGCAATCTGAGCAGCGATGGCTCGAACAGGTCGGCTTGGAGGATGATCGGGGAGAAGATCCAGAGGGTAGCGAGAGCGACTTTACCGTCATGGTCTCGGCTATCATTCCCATGCCCGAACCTCGACCAGTGGCAATTGCGCCTTGTGGATTTCTACGAGTCTGGGACGGAACAGGTCATTCTCACTCGGATCGGTACGTTCTGCTGCGATCAAGAAATGAAACCGTTTCGATTAAGTTTGTTCTCATTGAATGTGTTCATTCTTGCTCTGTCTCATTCTTGCTCTGTCTTGTTCCTTCCGTACTTCAGATTCCCAATGAATACCAAACAATCACATTCACTGAATGGTGACCCACCGTCAGAAGCTCTCGTCGCCATTTCCAAAATCAAGGAAGTCCGAAGTGGGACACGTGATGCGTTAGCAACGCCGCAGCGATTGTGTGGCCGAGTTGTCAACGTTGTCATTTGGGAGCAACCTCATTGGGACTTTATCATGAAGAACCACGAGCAGGTGTACGTTGGTAGTTTTGTTCGTTTGAGGAATGTCAAGGAAGGCTTCTTGAATGAAATCGGGCTCCGCTGTAAGTGTTCAAGATGTTTGTTCCATCTGCTTTTGCTCTAGAGTGCTCTCAACCTTTTGTCCTCTCGTTAGGCCTGCACTGTGGATCGCATTCGTGGCTCACGCCATTGCCACCAACAAACTTTGATACCTTAGAGCTACTGGGAAAGCACAGCGAGAGAATCGGCAAGGGTCACCCTCCAAATACAGATAGCGGCGTCCTTCCTCTGGACGCCCATACAGGAACCAGTAGCGACAGGGCTTCCTGTAGGTCCCCCGAGCAGAGACAGCGGCAAACGGTGGCGACAGCTTCTGCCACTTCCACAACTGTCGCAGCTCGTTCACCACAGAAGCCAACGGCTGTTCTACCAAAACCTCGAAAAGCAGGGCCAATGCGCTACAATACACTGGACCTGCTTAAAAACAAGGCCGCCAATTCCACATTTCGAGGCAAGGTTGTCATCAAGGCGATCATTCCCAAGATCAATAGTGCCAAGGAAATGTGGAAAGTGTGCCCCAGAGACAAGAAGAACAAACAAGGGAGGATCTTTCGGTTTGGTCTTCGCCTCTCTGACGGTATCACCATGTTGGATGGCATCGCGTCCAACAAGATCGGTGAGAGCTTCTTTTCAGGCATGTCTGCTGAGGATGCTTGTGGCAGTAGGGAAGAGGACGCATTCGGGGTATTGGCATGCATTGAACGCGGTGATCGGTTTCGTGTGGAACTGCGGAGTATAGTAATGGATGGATCCAAGTGGTTTGTCATCACATCCATGTCGGCTATTGCTGCCTCCAAGGCAAACTGAGGCGCAGCCAGCCAGAATCAGCCTGAGAGTTTGGTTTGCATCGTCGATTTAGTCGAAAGATCTACTGGCTGCTACCCGTACCGGAGAGAAACCATAGTGGATAGTATTCATATGGGGACAGCGCGTGTCCAAGCTTCAGTGCTGAGGAGATCAATCTTCTGCACACCATCCAAGGTTTTCTAAAGATCCATTTTGATGCCCAAGAAGTAACCTCAGTTTGACGGCCGGCTTTCCACATGTTCTCTAGATTTTGTCCTTAGCATGGCACTCCATGGCCTATGAGAGTCCCTTTGCGCCATTTTCTTTGAGACCCTTTCCACATGTTTGAGTTCTAAGTACCATACGATTGAATTTTTAGACTTGCACGGCTTGCGTAGTCAGTCATGTCAAGTCAAATCCCGGTTAATCTGGCTCATGTCTGTAAATCCCGTTCTGGGACAATCTGGCTCTTATCTTATTATGACACCACTTCTTCCTCCAAAACTCGGCACCAACAGCGTTGTTGTGGCTCTTCCTCATGAGCCAGCTGTCTTTCCAAAGGTCCGGATTTGATTGATAGCGAACACCCTGGGTTCGTTGTTTTCTAAATAGTAGTCCACAGCAAGCAGTGCCTCATTAGGATTGCATAGAGTTAGTTGTTACCTTTCATCAGTTGGTCGCTACCTCTTCATTGTGTCCCTCCAATAGAAGGGGACATCCAGTACCGGTACACAACAATCACCATGGCGTATGACAAGATGCATCTGAGTGTTGGCACAGTTCGTTGTGCCAACGAGAGAAGACAGTATGGTGCTCTACTGATGGTGTCAGGGATTGTGGCAGTAATTGCACCACTGGGCGGAATAGTCACATCCATGAGCACAAATGGCTTACCAGATGCAGTCAGAGACCCTGGCTCGACCGAGTGCTGGTCTTTTGTGGGGTTATGCTGCTTCTTTGCCATTGGGGTCTCCTCCGTCGTCACGGGATTTGCAGAGTGTGTCCATGATATCGGTACCACAAGAGTGACTTTCTGGACCATTCTGCTCACTCAGGTGAGACTGTCCTGGTTTTTGGTGGCTATTGCATGGGATTTTGGGGTATCTAACCTTCTCGCACCTATGCCATGCTCATGTTGGGATTTTTTCAGACAGCCTATATTCCATTCATTACCGAAATGGCGATTATAGGACAGGGTGCTAGAAAGGATAATAGTACCCCGGCCTTTTGGAATGTGATTGATGTTGTTCCCGGGCTGGAAACCTCAAGTGAGATAACTGGCACGGATGTCAGATTCATTGCGGCAATGGGGTAAGGCTACCATTCATTGAATTATTATTGTGCGATGTCTTTTCCGACCAGTCTGATCATCACGTCTTCTGTTGTCACGTACCGTGTAGCATATTTGGTGTGGCATCCTATATGTTTGCCTTTGTGGGCCAGATTGCCTTTATGCAGTTTTCACTTTATGCCTTTTACAATGCCGTACCAGAAGACAGACATTCCGGGTACTTTGCTGGAAGATTAAGTTTTTACTCTCTTGTGCTTTGCGTGGCTGGCATCAGTCAGTTGATGCTTGGAAGCTATCTCTTGACAAACTTTGACATTGACAATGGAAGGCTATCCGGTGGGTATATTTCAGTTGGTATTTACACAATACTCTACCCCTCCATGTCCATGGCAGTCGGAGGGCTGCAGGTTATTAATGGACTCTGGGGTTTTGCCAGGTCACTGGACGTGGCACATGGAGGACCAAATGATATACTGTACGGGTGGTCCATGGCATTTCAGTGGGTGGTCATGCTGGTGGTGCAGGTCATTGTGCAAATTGGATATCTTCCTGGAGGCACCATGGCTTCGTCAGCCCCGTTTCTGGCAGCCATGAGCTTTTCACTCAACCTGATGCCTACGTATCTCGACTACAAAATGAGAAACACATTACAAGACATACCAATCGACTATTATGGCTGCTCCGATGAATACGAACAAGAGCACACAGGGATAACGTTGCAGTAGTGGCTGGCTCGAGCAGCTGGACCGAGGAATCAAATCACATTGGATCCACCCGAGGAAGCTTTGGGTTAACACACACGACACGTTGGCCAGTTCAAATAATTCGGTTGTCATCACCACCATGGTCGTCCCCTCGAGAAGCACGGTTTACGACCGCAGAGTACGCCTCAAGTCCGCCACTTATTTGTTGAATATTGTGCCGCCACGGGGCCAATATCTGTTTGGCCCGCTCTTTGTATTGATAGCATTTGCGTAACGTTCAGCCATTGATAGATCACACAGACTCTATCTTCTAGTATTGTTTGCTAGCCAGTTTGAGATTCCACTGCTTAGTGACCGTCGATTGATAAATAGTGTGTCCATATCTGGTCTACAGCTTCTGCTGTCCAGCTGCCTACGCGAAAGGTACCATACCTCCAGTAGAGCTAGACTTCTATCTACCAGGTATGCCACAAGCAAGCAAACCCAAAGTTAGGCCTCCTCATGGCCTCCTGGAAGTGTTTGCCAAGCGTATACTAGTTGGATTCAACCAACAGAGTACGGTACAGGGTTGCTACCTGATCGTTGCTGCTGCATACATACATGGTGGGTGCACTTGAGTTCAGCTCTGTTGCATCAAGTAGTATAGACAGCAGTTTTCGATGGTAGCTATCTAACTAGCTACTGTAGTGCTTGACCTACAATTCCCTTCGAAACAGCCCTTCCTTGTTTCCAGTCTTCTGTCTCTTTTGATCATCTTGCAGATACAGGTGGTCCGAAGTAAAGGTGGATATAAATGCCGTGTACGGATCACAATTGAGTGTGGCATGATGCCATCGATCAGGAAAGTAAATGAGATCGCCTGGTTCCAGCGTGCATTCATACGGTCGTCCATTGGGCAAGATGGAATGCTGCTTGTCCTGTTTCTGCCACACATCTTGCTGTTGCTGCTTCAAAAGGAAATCGGCATGGTACAGCCTCAACTTGGTTTCATTGGTATACGTGTATTCCATCCAATTCCGTGTGGATTGATCATGATGAAAAAAGGGTGGACTGTAATGCGGCGGATACAAGACCCAGTGCTTGCGCCCATGCAATGCTTCGGAGAATCCCGGTCCGTGAATATGCCACTGGACTCCCGATCCTCGATTTCCAACTCCAAAGGAAAGAGCCACGTACTCGGGTTGACAGGTTTGACCGGGAGGAAGTTCGTAGTGTTTCGTCACTTGTTTCCAATCCTCCGTGAATGTTTCTCCAAAGAGATACCAGCTTTCATTGCTGAGTTGATGAGGCGACGTGATGCCATTGTTGTGGCTCATTTCGTCTAGATAGGTTTCCAATGGCACGGTCCTCCGGTGTTGGGAAAAGGAATTGGAACTGGAAAGAGTGACGGTAAAGTTGGGAGGGAAATTGGACAGGATCGTGTCTTCTTGGGTCAGCTGCCGCAACTTGTCATTGCCATTCGCCACCACCACGAGGGGCGTCTCATGAAGAGCCGGGACTCCCTCGGGACCAAACGTTTCGTAGATTTCATCGAGTGTGTAGCGCTGGATAGTACAAGGATGTTGCGCCTCGGGAAGCCATTGCCACGAATCTGCCTTGTCTTGTTCTTTGACACTTGCGTTGGCTTGCTTGATGCTTGTTAGTATTATGATAAAGAAGAAGAGATTGGTAGCTATTCTTAGCGATGCCCTCGCTGTGAGCGTCATTGTTGCTCCCAAAGATAGATGAGAATGCGATTTGGGGGTGAATGATGAATGATGAATATTTATCCTTAACCCTCAGGAGGATACCCAAGATCTTTGTCGATGGAGCTTCCGATCCACGGAGAGAGCTGTCAACTCAATAACGTCATTCGGCTTTTTTTCAGCGTTCGTCTCCTGTTTCCTCTTGTCAACGGGTATACAGGACCTCTGAAGGTTTGCGATTGGGGAACTAAATCCAGTCACCAGCTAGTCCACAGTAGTGGAAATAAATTTAACCTTTTTACGAGACAGACAATTTTGCTTGGTAGGCGTAGTCACTAGGTACTTGACTAGATCGTGTTGCTTAATTCAATAATTTATCTCACTAGTTAGTAGGTTTCTTCATTTATACCGGTGAGGTTGGTTCATAGGGTTGGGAATATTTGGAGTCGTTGAGTGAAATCTCTAACCTTAAGCAAAACACTCCTTGATTTCGTTGATGGCTGTCTTGAGATCATGGGGGAGATACCCTTCTCCATAGGTGGCAACCTGTCCTTCCATCAAGGTCAAGACTTCCTGGTAACAGAAGTCCTTGGTGGTTTTATCACATCCATTGGCTTTGTCGATGAGTCCCCAAACAAGCTTAATGATTTTGCTGTAGACATGAGTATCCTCAAAGCGTTGGAAATATTGGGTTGTTTTGTTACCATCTAGATCGGTATAGGTGATACTCCATGCTACTTTGGTTTGATTGCCTCCTTTAATACTCATAATCGCAGTCTCCCAGGACGAGTCTAACTTGGCGTGTGTTGAACGTGCGTGATTTTCAGCAAGAATGGTCATTGTTTAATCAAACAAGTTGCAAAGTTGGGATGAACGAAGTTTGACTTGGTTCATTGTGCTCGAGATGGTCGCTCTGCATCGTGGACTTCGTGGACAGTCCTTGCTACCGTTGACAGGTACGGATCGTGGACTCCGTGGACAGTCCTTGCTACCGTGGACGCCTGATCACTTCCGGATACTCGGAACGAATAGATCACTGACGTACTTCAATGACTTCAGTGAAAATGTTCCCGATACTCAGCTATAAAGTGTACCAGTGGGCCTCTAGTAGGGTTATACGGGGCCTAAAACTGTTGCTATAGCTGGGATTGTCAATCCAAGGCGTTCACATAGGCGGCTTCTAGTGTTCTTTAAGTTCTTGGTATGAATGAGATCACCGCTTGACATACTGACTAGCAGGCAACCCTCGATGGAGATGCGACAATACCATTGTGGATTGTCTAATCTAACGATCTAAGAGATGTAAAGTTTGTATTTCCAAATAAGTGAGCAGTTATTGATTATTTTCTAGAATGAGTGCTGGGCCGTGCTATATTCTTAAAGTAGCTGTTAGAAGCTACCAATACGGTATAAGCCTCTGTATGCCCGTCGGCAACGGCGAGACAGGGTGGTTGGGCTCATAGTGCTCGGGCGCGACAAAGGGTGAATATGGGAGAGAGAGACGAGGGACCACACTAAGTACGAATACTGGGGACCAGAACGAGGTCTGCTCTGGCAGCAAGTGCTGAGGTAAATTACCATCCCATGAGGAGCTTCCGAATGACAGCAAACTGTGGAGCCGGAAGACCCTTAGTGAAAATGTCGGCCCGTTGTTCCAGAGTCGGAATATACTTAGCCACGATGCCCTCGACTCCCCGATATTGGACCTGAAGAAGTGGTACTTCAATGCAAATACTTGTTGCGCGCAGACATTTGGGAACATTCACAAGAGACAGGCAACCTTGGTGTCTTCGAACACTGTAGAGCGTACGAGACTGTCAGTAACTACCTGCATATTCAGTTTGCTACCAATTTCTTTGAGCAAAGCCGCATAGGAAGCAGCTCCCTCTCTTGACATGCTGAAGGCAACATACTCGCAGCAGTGGAGCTCAAAATAATGTCAGTCTGTAGCTTGCTGGACCAGATGATAGGGCACCCAAACAAAGTCAGGACAATTCCAGTGCGAGACTTGACGGACACAGGATCCTGACATCCTCATATCCGTACAATCCGGCGAAGTCAGCATCGACCCAACAATCAAGTCCCTGATCAAGTTTAGGCTAAAACAAATGCCTTGTCACTGTGCCAATCAGATACCGAATGATACGTTTTGATTCTTGAGCATGGAATGCCTGGGATTGTGACTGAATCGTGCCACCTGGTGAACTAAATGTGATGTCTGGGCGAGTGTTCGACGCAATAAAAAGAAGCATCCCAACTGAGCTGGATAGCTCACTCTTCTTCAAATTGGGAGGCCCGTTGTGGGGCCCACGATACAGTTGCTACTGGGCCTGAGTGGAAGCTGGAGAGGGTCGCGAAGCGAATGGCTCGGAGAAAGCTCTTGACTCAATGATTGTGGGCAAGCACGAGTAGAGTCGACATTCACGGAGGTGATCAGATTGTGGAGTGGGTGTGACTGTCACGCTTTTGAGGGGTCACCAGCGCCACTTTTGTGGAACCATAGGTGGCGTACGGGAATGTCGTCAACGAGCTGTTGGGGGTCTCCGCTGCGTGGGGCTCTTGCTGGTGCTTCGCAATTGACAATCTGGTTAGGAGTGAGAGACAGTAGACGAGAGGCGAGTCCTAAGATAGATGTCACCTTTTTCTCGGTTCGCATTCTGCGAGAGCGGGTCAGGATCTATCCAAGTTTCTGGTTACAGCTTGGCGCCTAACCATGGAGCCGCGAGTGTGGTACTCCGGAACATCAGATGCGAATCGTGCTTGGGGGGATCCTGCGACTGAAGCTAACGTGAGGGAGACCGAGTGGCTAACCGTCTAGGGCTATTACACCCGTTAATACCGTGGGGAGGCATCGAAGAGGGTCTCCTCTGGACCAAGCGAATAACTAACAAACAATGGGTCTGGCGGGCGACAGGGAGTTGTGCGGAATAAACGCGACTGAGTGTGGGCATCCATGCGCACGGCCGGAGTCAAAAGGAGGGGATCTAGCCTCCACTGTAAAAACTGAGGAGCCTTAGACGAGGTTTGATTTCCTGGTGGGTTCTCTACACCGGTACTTGTGCGTTGTCGTTAATATACGAGGGCAGTCCGTCCGCGTTTACTAGAGAGTCTTCATCGTGTCACCCGGTATGGCGTTTAATGCGGAGAGTCTGGCGCGATTAGTCCGATATGGCTCAACACTGGTGCCTTGGGGTCCTGACGAGTGGACAGCGAATCCAGTAGGGCTGCTGGTTGGGACAGAAGCATCACGTGAGACTATGATAGGGCCAACAAGGCGTCTTCCGAGTGCGGCGCACATCACGCGGTATGAGGTGGGTGCACGCAACGCTCGCTGGGGTATACAACCAGCGGATCACTAGGAGTGGCTACTACCAAGACGTGCTGGGCGCGAACCAAGCCCAGAGGTGGAGCGAGGTGGGGCTTGCGGTGCGTGGGCTGGGGCCTGCACCTGTGGGTTCACCAAGGGACATCGGCGGAGATACAGCGTGCCTCCTGACCAAGCACACTAAATAACTTTTAAGGTGTACCGTCTCGGCTTGCCCTCGATACGCTCTGTCACTTAATCGGAATGTGCGAGCCCATGTTCCCGAACCGGGCCTTTTTAGGTGATGGACAATCCAATGGATAGAGTACGACGTGTCATGTTAGCCCACGAGGACGTGCTGGGTCCCTGTCACTCTACCAGAGGGCAGTACAGGGTACTAATGGTGTCCCTTTTGGTCCATTGGCTGGGCCCAGAATGGGCTGCATAGATGACCATCAGAGATCCTTTCAGAGAGGGGAGATCAGGTCTTTGGAAATTTTGCCTTGAGAGCAGTGGGTTTGAAGAATGCAAGGATGAAAGATTCCTGGGTGTTGTCAAAGGTGAATAACCATTCACCTTAGATTTGCATCATGTGCCCAAAATTGGAGTAACTCAAAGGTAAAAGCTAAAGCAACAACTCAACAGGATGAAGACGCGCATATGTCTTCAACTTTGGGTCCATGTTCAGAGTCTCAGGCTTCTTTGCTGTGGGCTGTTCTACTGGGATTACGACGAGGGGCAGAGAGTTGGCTCGATGTGGACATCATTGGTGTGGAGTGCTGATGGTGGGAGGCTCCTGTTCCCAAGAAGAGGTAAATTTGAGTCTGAAGTGGTGCAGACTATCTGGAATCTCCCTGTGTGAAACGTGGTTGTGCTGGACACGGAGCTTGAAAATGAAGATCATCCCTTTTATCTTTGCTCTTTGCATCCTGCCATAATTTTCCCCCATGTCGAAGCTTCTGAAGAGAGATCGTGCTGGTTGAGCCTTTTCCCTGGAGTAAGCCACTGTCTGCTAAGGAGGTGGAGTGTCCTCTTCAAAAGGGTCTCGAAGGGTTGGAAGATGACATGTTGGTCCATCTAGAGGTGGTTGATCTTCTGAAAGTAAACTGTCTCAAACCATCATCATAGACAAGATGGTACTGAGGGGAAAGGTATCCTGTTTTGAAGGTTGCGGATCAAGACCAATATTTCTGAATGGACAGTTGTGAGGTGCCAACATATTGTCCTCCTCACTGTGGACCTAGGGTCTGCCCATTTTGGAAGTTCGTTCCTCCTCACTGAGTAAGTGGGCTAGCGGGTTCCAAAACTAATATGCAGGGCATCCCATGGATGGCCTTCTGAGACTTGTACTCACTAGACAGTTCGGCGGAAATACCTGCAAATGGGAGAAGCAGTAACTGGTAAAGAGTCGCGGCAAGTGTGGGTTGCACAATGGTGCAGCTGTCAGAGAGACTGCCAGAGGACAGGTTCGATTCATCAACTCGGCCAGTATAGAGCATGCTGCGAGGAATGGAACATAGCTAGCTTGAGTTACCTAGCAGATTTCTGAGGTTACTAAGTCAGGCTAACAGCAAACCCATTCTGCATTTGCCGCGTGGTCGCAGATATATTTAATTGATTAATGGTGGTCCCTAAGATGTTGGACATCATGCTGCTGTGTATCTGTATGTGCGACCATTAGAGTGCAGGGCAATTGTCCCAGTGGGACTTGGTTTGGACCACAACCGTGCTTGGCACTTCACCATCGGATCGATCCTCGGACGTTGCTCATGACTCAGAATCCTGACATTATGTGGACAATGAGGCTCGATGGGCAGTAAGGATGAGTGGTGAGCAGCGACTTCAAAATGTGTCAATTTGGGGGGTTCCAACACGAGATGGTAGCCTACATTGTCGCAGTCCGGAGTGGAAACCAAAGGTGCTCCGTCTGATCGTACTCAATTCGGTACGTTTACGGAAAGTTCTGAGCCTCTTTTGCGGTATTCAGGGTTTAAGGGATCATGTTGCCTGACTTGGTGTTTTCAGCAAATTGACAGGGCAGGATTCAAGTGAGTGTCCAACTCCTCTGACCTTGACCTATGCATCATAAGTGCGAGTCAGACCGGCGTCAGAATCGCTATTATTTTTTCGCCTCTGGGCTACTGATGGGGAGAGACTATGGACGGGCGGGAGCTCTCAATGCCGGCAACGAGATTGGACTATGGGTTCAAGAAGCGGTCGACAGACTGGTAGACCGCTCGATAGCCTTTGCTTAAGCCCAGTATGCTCAGGCCCAGAGCATGTACTGCGTCGTCTAAGAACCACCCAACCAAGGATTGGACAGGAAGGACAGATGTCCCACTTTAATGCCATTGCAGCAGATTTTGTCAAAAATAAAAGGTTCCTGTTGTTGGTAGTAGAACTGAAGTCATTGCTTGTAGAGAAGAGAGTGCCTTTCCTTTGGGAACAATAAGTCGTGGTAGAAAACGGAGTAAACTTCATTTGTAGCATTTCTTTCCTCCCGTATGCCTATTCAGCATGTGTCGTGGTAGCTCTG